CTAACCGCCGTTATTTCAATGTTAGACTAGTCCGACCCCCCTTTCCAGCTCTTTTTTTGACCCTTTGTAATTCTTTTTGTTCATCGTTTTTTGCGCTTTTTTCGTTGTTATCGCTTTATTCTGGAGTAGTTCTATCAACTCCCGTCTAAAAAGGGTAACCTAACTTTTTTGTGAACGGTGCGTTTAACTTGGAAGTACCACTGCACCATGCTCTACCTCTCTAGCCTCAACTGCTAGAGCCACAAGAGATGAAGGCGCCAGTTTCGCAGGCGTGTAATAGCTAAGGAATGGTTTTGAATTAGGGCGATGAATTGAGCCTGAACTTAAGTAGAGGAAAAGCATTGGGATGATTAACTTCTCGAGAAAAGTTAGGATGTTTCAAGTACATTGACTCGGAGTTCTATGTAAGTGCCCTGAACCAGGATACCAAGCCCTTTAAACCGTTTTCGGAGAATGTTCGGCGACCCCATATGAATAATAATACGAAGCTCAAGTTCATGGCGAATATGAACACCAAAGTCATCTCACAGCTGCTGCCATTCAATCCGAGTTTGTGTTCCCAAGCCAGCAAGGCCGAATAGTGTGAATGGACAACCACCTCCAACTACAGCGAGTCGATTATCAATCATGTTTTAGCAAGGTGCATGAACTGCACTATATGTGAAGCATGCGATAAGATTTTTTCAACCAGTGGGGTCAAGTCAATTTATAGAATGCCCATGAAGGAAGGAGAATGTTATTCCAAAAAATCCTTCATTTAACAGCTCGAATATATGGTATCGTTGCATATGAAGGGCGATAAGCCGGCGAAATTGAGAATATAAATTGTTAAGTGCTAGCAAGAAGCGCAACTGCTGTACTCGTGGGTGCATCAAAACTTTTTCGCATCGTCAACCTATTGCTTTGATAGGAGGCCTACAAACGTGTGAATTCTTCTTTGTTGCTATGTGCTCAGAGGCGATTAGATTTTTCTACCTCATATGGCTGACTAGGTCTTTGGCAAAGAAGCTACCTTCCGTTGGTTAAGTGAAATTTGCAGTATGAAGTAGACTAGTTGAAGTTTCCAATCCGTATGCACTTCATACAAGTTTTGTGAATGCATACTTTCGATAACAGATTTGTTTATTGGTCTAGACTTATACATGGAATTATGGTATCATACAAAAGAACTATGTGCACAATGTGCAAGTAAACTTCGAAGAAATGTGTACAATTTCATTTATCCATTAGATCGAGCAGCTTTCAGCAGTGAGCAAACACTGTCGATTCCCCTAAAAAGATAACCTGACATAAGCGATCTATGCTGGAATCGGCAAAATATTTCCACTTTAAAATTCGCGATGCCTGTTCATTTCTCAAAATTGGGTCACCAAAATTGAACCTGAATTTAAACTTACTAAGGTGTCCGGAAGGTTTTGAGAAAACAATACCTCTAAACGTTTGAAAGCATGTCGCTTGCGAACGCGCTGAAGAAAGACTGTAGATTTGATAGCATAGAAGGCGGCAGTGTTGATAGATTAATACTATTGCCGATCGTGGTGGAAATCGCCGACCGAGGGATGTGCCATCAATGAGACTACGGGAGCGTTTTGGTTATCGTTAAGAAATTGGTCGCTTCGACACTAAGGCTCACAATGAGATATGGTGGCTGGTTGGATTGTAGTGACCCTCGCTTGTCCCCTACCATAAATGGCACGATCGCCTTTTCCGAGAAGAGGCTTGCTTCGACGAGGTTCGTCGGAGTAAATGCCGAGTACCAGAACTTCTCCCCAAATTCCCACGGCAAGCGGCAAAGGTCACACGACGGCTACTCATCCCTTCACTGGAACTTGGAACCTTTCCCTTCATTGCGCCGGATGCGCGCGATCTGGTAAGGCGAGTGCGACCTCATTTTCAGAAAGAAGATACCGGACCCAGCGAATGTCCATTCTCCTCAAATACTGACACTGAATTGGCCTTTCATTAGAACAATCCTCCTCAAGTTGTCAGAAAAAGGAAAATACGGTCCCTACTCCTCGATCAATCACCCACAACGTTCTACGCATAAGTCACTTTAAAAGCAGGACTCTACAAATATCGCACTTAGGAGCTTCCTGACTTAAAGTGAGCATCGTCATAAATCGAGTTCGTTGTTGCTCAAAATGATAAGTAGAAGTCACATGAAAACCCAAACAGCAAATCGCAATGCCCACCAGCGGACTTAAGGCCACAGCCTGCTATGAAGCAAGACGCCAAGAAGGACAAGAACTCATTTTTCCTCTGCTCAACATGTACCACCAGAGTGTACCGCGGTAAACACAAGAGTGCTCTGTTAAAAAGTGAGGGAGGTGTTGTTTCGAGTCCCCATTTCATATCTATTACAAGAAAACTTTCGACTGTGATGGATAGTGCTCGACAACCCCACGCGAGAACGTCGATGGATGAGCTGAAAAGACCTGGTGTAAGCCAACTACCCCGCTCCTCACATATTCAGCTGACTTCAACCCTTTACGACTGCCAAATATCCAGAAGCCTATAGCCTACTCCTAAAGGAAGAAAAATCATCAAATGTGAGAGGACAAGTAATGTGGTAAATGAATGAGTTGCGCCTTCCCTTCATATAGGAGAAATGGTTACGATTCCATGTTCGGTTGATGGAGAGACATTGTGGCTAAGCAAGTCGACAACCTTGATCAGTGTTCTAAATTTATCGTTGTAGTTATTTCGTGTTGAAAAGCGACTGAGTTTTCTCAAAACTTTTCGGACACCCTAGCACCATTCAGGAGTCCGCCTAAATAGCCTAATATTTTAAACAGACGTGTTCCTGAAAGACCCCACTTCCTACTGGGACGGAAAAGTTATCTATCGGTAGGTGCAGCTCATGCATTCAACCATGCACAGCTATTACGGGAGGCATTTGCTAGTGCTCTAGCCGCTTTTTGCCTTCATAATTCATCATAAGAGCTACTCGTACTTTTGGATATTTTTCGATTAAGACTTACTCAACACCAGCTTTTGTAGCGCATTCACACAGATCGGCTGCGTGGCTCTTCCAGCTCGAAGCTCCAATGCACCTTTTTAGCGAATTGCGCAGGTTTTCTTCAGTTATAAGAGGTTGACAGCTAAAAAGGCGAAAATAAAAATAAAACTAGAATTTACAGAAACCTTCCTTATAAGTAATAGCGCTCCTGATGAATATGATAAAGTTTCTGAAGGAATTGGAGTGTTACAGCAGCCGGCATGTATTCACAATATCCCAGTACTACTCTAAACCACTCGGGCCGCCCGGCGTTAGACGGGCGGCCCGAGTGGTTTAGAATAGTACTGGAAATTTGTGAAGACCGAGGAGGAAGAAGGAGGAAATTCTCCGTTCTGTGAGAAATTTGCTATGCGTAAATAACACTTCGGATTCTCCTTTTCTTTGAAAGCTCTACACCCTCAGTATTAGCTCCGAATTAGAGCGATTTTTTCTGTGAGCCATCTTCGCTGTGTTTGAATAGAACATCGCATGATATAACAAACGCGACTACTCAGAGAACAAAAGTATTCAGAGACTGCATCGCGGCTGAGTCTACTATGTTGGCTA